TGAAATTAAACACAGACACACACAGACATCGAGACTCTCTTTCTGACTCACACATACGTATACACACAAACAAACACACACACAGACACTTCCAAAAAGGCAGAAACATGCGCTCACAGAAAAACACAATCACGTAGACAGATACACAAGCACATGGTTCTGAAGTTTTTCACGTTGAGAGAACGGCTGAAAGTGTTTAACAACATGTATTATAATTGGTGGAAAGTTTATGACCATAACCAAAAGGATCAGCCGAGTTGTGCACAGAAACGTCCCTCATATACCCAGTCAGACTTCAAGACAGTAAAACCTGTGAAGCGCTTTGAGACGTCCTCATCATGTAAGATGATCTGTACCGAACGCAAGGATTATTATTATTTTGCTGAACTCAGCGAAAAAATTTTAACGGCCAGTGCAAGGGAAGATTCCCTCATTCCTTTCTCAATATTGCCAAATTCCCGACTTTGAGGATAAAACCATGAATTTATAGCTCAAGCGAGAGTGCTGCCGGCTGAGACAGCGTGACCGAGAGCCTGAGCTGGAGTGTGCCAGGCTGACACGGCTGAGCTGGGTTAGACACAGTGATGAGCTGGGCTGAGCCAGGTCTGACCTGGTCTGACACACGGCCAAAGCTGGTCTGTTGACACAGGGCGTGAGCTGGGCTGTACAGAAACTGAGCTGACACAGGGCTTAGCTGGGCTTACACAGGGTTGAGGTGAGCTGAAACAGAGCCTGAGGTAGGCTGACACCTGGTTCAGCTGAACCGATACAGGGCCTGAGCAAGGCTGACACAGTGTTAAGCTGCCCTGACACAGGCCAGTGATGCATTCACTACTCACCATTGAAGGCACCGACCGGGGAACCTTTCTCACCGTTGCATCTGAAACAAACGGAAACTGTATTTAACACCAGCACAATTCATTAACCGCACTATAGTTGAACAGTATTATTAAGGATATCAAAGGTTGCAGTAAATAATTATTAACGATAATGCTGATAGTAAATATTAGACCACAGTTAATATTTTGGTAACCATGGCATTTGAAAAAAACTAACTTATCACGACATAGAGAAGTCCCAAAGAGCTTCACAGGATTGACGGTGCACTGGAATTACTGCATACTATGTCAATTAAACCAGGAAGACATTCATGCCAGCAGCCTCACAAGTACAAGTATGTGAACGATTTTTTCTCAGGATTGATGGCCAGATAGAGATCGTTGGCAGAGTGAGAGAGGTTCTGTTCTTGAATAGCGCCGTGGGATCTTTAATATTCTCCTAAACAGGCCGAAGTTTCCTCGGTTTATCTTAGAATCTGAAGGACGAAACTTGAAGTGGCTCAAAACAGTCAGCGACATAGAAAAAAACATGCAGACACACAAACACGCAACAGTAACACAACCTGGCACGCAGAGCGACCAAGAGAGTAGGAGAGTGGCAGACACACAGATTGGCACACACAATAGACACAGACTGACTAAGGGAGAAGGTGAGTGGAGAAAAAGAGACACACAGAACAAACGATAACGGGAGAGTCAGAGAGAGAGAGAGAGAGAGAGAGAGAGAGAGAGAGGATATGGATGAGTATTATTAAGGACTTAAAATCTTGCAATTAATAATCTTTAATGAGCATGCAAGCATTGGTGTCAGCAGCTCCAAAATCAGATGTACACAGGGCGTGAACAATTGTTTTCTGGAGGATTGTTGGACAGAGAGAGACTGATGGCCATGAGAGACAAATTCTCTCTTTGAATTGGGCCGCGAGTTCTTTAATGTCCACCTAAAAGGGCAGAAGAGACGTCGGTATATGGTCTCTTCTGAAAGACAAAAAACTTGAAGTGGCGCAAATTGAGACAAGCGATTGACAGTCAGACACACAGACAAGCATGCGGCAGACACACAGACAGAAACACAGACAGACCAAGAGAGTAGGAGAGGGGCAGACATACAGATTGACACACTGTAAGACACCCAGAGAGATGAAGGAAGAAGGCGACTGCACAAGGGGAGAGACAGATCCAGAGAAAGAGGGCTAGGAATCAATAGTCTCTGGTTTGGGGGAGGCTCATGAGCAAGAGATTGGTTTGGGTGGGGCTCGGGCCATCGGCTGACCAGACGAGTTTGTGATCAGCTCTTTTCACTCAGGACTCAAACCTAGGAAACTTCTCACTCACAGGTGACGTTGCTGGGTTCAGGGCCGCCTCCCGTGGGTACGTTCCTGCGAAAAAAAACAGACAGATGAGAGCGAAATATTCTCTGCTGTTTTACTGAGGAGGATTGCGGTGCTCAGTCCAAGTCTTGTAACAGGGCTAACGACCAAACATTGACACTCAGCTGGAGTGAAGCGAGGGGGTTGGGGAAGGTTTGGGTTGGGAGCCAGTTGTCTGAGGCTTGTGTGGAAACCCGTCACCATGGTGACGAGTATCCATACCATACGATGAATTCCAGTCATGCCTCCAATAGAAGGCAATTCCTGTTTATTTAATTAATATGCATTACATCTGCCAACCTAATCCCCATGTGGTTTAGGCACAATCTGGCTAGAATCAGGGTTTAGCGACCTCACAGTATGAATTGGGATCCCACCAGCTAAAACCACACGGCTTGCTATAGGGAGCTCCGTCTTGCAATCTTCCTCTGCTTTTCGAGTTAGGAAACATCAACCCGTTAGGGATTTATCCTGTAGTGTAGCAGGAGCTGAATAGGAGGATTCCTTACCCCCAGTATCTTTTCTGCCCTCCAAGTGTTGCCAATGAGTGTGGGAGTGTACACATGTACAGACAGTTTGGAGAGAGAGCAGGGAATGGGATTAAGTTGGAGATTTCCAGTGGGGTGCAAGCAACACCACAGACAGGATGGCGTGAGAGGAGGAATGGGAAGAGTATAGAGAGCTCCAGTCGGGGTGGAAGCACCTGTGCAAGCAGGATGGGGAAAAAGAATGAAATAGCGGTGAAATGTTCTCACCTTTCCCCACTTGAACTCTTCTGTTTACCTGTAATTGCAAAGGGTAACGCATGTCAAATAATGATTAGTACTGGTTGTGTATTGTTGTGGTTATATTAACAATAATCCTCCCTTTCATAGCATAATTACCGTTTCATTACAAAGGGCAGTCCCTACCCAAACCCTTTCCCATCACTACCACCATGCATGGACGTGCCTTCAGCCACATCGCTACGCTATTTGTAAATACATCCGTTTCCATCTGATTTAGCTCTCGCTCCCACCCTCACACCACAAGACCCATCACTTCAACCGTGTCTAGTATTAGTATTGTTATTCTGTGTGACAAACATTGCACTCAAGTGTAGTGACTGCTTTTTTAAGGAAATGCGGCAGCCCATTGCACACAAGTGGGTAACAAAAGCGGACATGAAGTGACATCCATTTTATTTGGGGGATTGTTGGCCAGGATTCTCCCTTCTCCCTTCTCTTTTCGAATGCTGCTGCAGGAACTGTAATGTCCACATGATCAGAAAAACAGGACCACGTTTCAACTTTCTCACTGTGCGTACAGGCTGAAGAACTTGGGAACAAAGTCTTGGAAACAAGAGTTGGGTACTGTACTGGATATTGACAGTAAATATCTCAATCCAAAAGGATCATTGTCAACAGCCTTTAAACATCGATATTATCAAGTACTCAAAGTTAAGGATAAAACTCATTGCCAATTTGGCTAACATAAACAACGACATGTCTTTCTAACTCAGATCCATGGTGCTGTCTAATCTGTCCCAACAATAAATGACTTGATAAAGGCTGAATGACTGTTTGGTAGCTTTGTTGTCAGATCCCCATCTGCACTCATTGACAAACAGAATATGAATACACAGTCGTTATATACTTTCCTGTCTACTTCTTTTCGCCCACAAATATACAGTAAATTCACTTGACAGCATATTCTGTGAAGCGCTTTGGGACTTCGAGAAGACGGGAAAAGCGATATATCAAATGCAAGGTTTATTAATATTATTATTTATTCCCAATAACTTTAAGCCATATTCACTGATATTATTGGCCACTTACCTTTCTTATATTCACTGATTCCCAGTAGTAACACAATTATCATTAACGCAGCGACAATCCCCGCAGCCAGTCCTGTAATTTGCTTCCAGGTCCAATTTGCTAGAGAGGGAAATGACCAGAGTAATTTGTCCACTTTGAAGAGCTAATATGCGGGGAACACCCATTATTTTAAAGGCATCGCTGAGATCTCATCTACTCCTGATTTGAAATCGCAAAAGAAGGAAATGTTTTCTCTTTTGCAATGAAAATTGTCGAATTTCCCCTCGTTTGTCTTCAAGAGAAAACTTCTCGACCCCTGATCCTGGGAAGGTTGAGCTAAGTAGGGCCTCTTCTGGTGCTGCGCAAGTGAATAGCCAAGCTGCGGAAGATTGGAATCGACGCCACACTTCATGGTGTTCCCCATTCTTCTCCATGAGCCAGGCATGTCCCAGTATTCCAGGGAACTGCGGATAACAAAACAGTCCAGCCTGGCTCATTCTCATCAGGTTGAGGAGCAAATCCGCCACTGGGAGCCGGATTATTTCTACGTTGGCTTTAAAAATACAAGTCAGCGTGAGCATCTTGTTCGTATGCTGCGGGACAAGAAGGGATAGTCTACACGATCGTGGTCAATGTGTGAGGTAGTCGGGTAAGTAACAGCTGTTGTGCAAGAGCAAGATCTGGGGTCCGCCCAAACTTGTCGCACGGCAAAACACACCGCGAAGTGACGGATATCAGGTCATCAGTGGCGCTTTCCTCTGGTGATAGCAGAGAGAGTTTACAGCCCAGATATGCTGTGCAGGGATGGCTCGGGAGTTTGGGTTTGGAAACTTTTTTATCGCGGGGATGGTTGCAGCCTGGTTCAAGCAATCCAACTGAGAGCAGGAGATAACGTGGACTTATGATCGGTGATATAAAGAGTGACTGGAACAGAAGCTGCTGTAAAAGGTCAGCAGACAAATAGATTCCTGTGTGAGATTATAACCAAATCTTACCGCGCACAGTGATTCCCACTCGCTCGCTCGCTATTGATGTAAACACTCGTCCGTCTATTTGTGTAGTATATTTACACGTGTAGTTTGCTGCACTGATCTCCGATAGGATGAATGTTGCCGTGTTGTTATTCTCTGGAGCTGCTTGTGATATGATAAACGCATCATCTCTGTACAGAGAGAAATTGCTGCCAGGATAATTCCCAGAACATGAGATCTCAGCGCTTTCCCCTCTCACAAACACCCGGGAATCTGGCTCCAGCGAAATTTTGGCTTTCTGGTGCGGATCTGGAATTCAAACACAGTGAAGACCATCTCACAAACATTCGCTCTGTGTATAGACACGGCACAGGTAATAGCAAAAAGGACCATTTGCTTCTTCCCAGCGTGGTGAAGGTGTCTGGAAGAGGTGAAGGTTTTGAGGGGCAGTTTCAGGGCAAACTCCAGCAAGTGTTTCTTTACACAGAGGGAGGGGGCACAACGACTGACATCGGAGTGGCCACGGAGGGCAGTGAGGCCGGGCAACTAAGTAACAGCTCCAGCATGAGACGGGAGAACGGAAATTTAATCTGGACAGCTCGTGTGATTTTCAGCCGTGTTTTAAACAACAGCGTAGGATGTCAACCAACGGATCAAACTTAATCCTGGAGCATCGACTTCACACAGAGGGAAGTGGCATTGTGGAACTCGCTAACTGAAGCAAGGATTAAATCAGACAGTCTAGATACATTCCAGACCTAATCACACCTCCACATGATGAGAGGAACATAAGGGATTTTGAAGGCAGTGGGTGTGTGCGATGCAATGAGCGACAGGGGAATAGAAGGCTTTGGAAGGTATCGAGAGTTTGGGGAGAGTAAAAGACGTTGTGGGAGTAACATAGTTTGTGGAAGGCAATGAGTTTGTGCGAGGGAATCAGGGTTTGGGAGCGAGGGTGGAAAAGAGGTTGAGGGAGGCAGCGAATGTGAGGAAGTTTGTGTGTTGTTGGAAGTGAGGGAGTCAATTTGATGGAGGAAGGGAGCAATGCAGATAATCTCGTGTAAAGAGGGTGTAAAATAAGATATCTGTTTGGGGAGGACAATTATCCAGGGCTGTAGCGAGAGAGTTGGGGATTGGGATTTAATCGGCTAGCTGCTTCAGAAGAGCTGGTATAGGGACGATTGAGAAAAATTGCATCCTTCGGTGCTGTATGATTCCATGATTAAATAAAGTAAGTGAGGTAGGGGCAGAGGCGTGATATGATCGCAGTGAATGGATACTAGGAGACAGTGACTGCACATTGATCAGAGAATTCAAGATCTCGCTCTTACCCCACAAAGAGATTCCCACTCGTTCGCTCTCTGGTGATGTGAGCTCGCGTGCGACTATATGTTTAGCGTATTTACACGAATAATTCCCTGCACTGATCTCCGATGGGGCGAATGTTGCCGTGTTGTTTTTCTCAGGAGCCCACTGTGATGAGATCAACTTCCCTTCTCTGTATAAAGAGAAATTACTGCCTGGATAATTTCCAGAACATGAGATCTCAGCGCTTTCCCCTCTCACAAACACCCGTGAATCTGGCTTCAGGGAAATGGTGGGTTTCTGGAGCGGTTCTGGAATTAAAGTAAATATAATCTCACAAACACTCACTTCGTAACATGAAAACAGTTCAGTTCAGACGAAAACTGTCTATTTGCTTATTTCTCAGCCTGAAGGAATCACCATGAAGACTGGGAGAGGCAAGGGTTAAGCGACAGTTTCAGGACAGGCCCGAGCATATGTTTCTTTAAACCTAGGGAGGGGTCAACGGCTGGCACAGGGGTGGCCATGGAGGGCAGTGAGGCCGTGGCCTGATGAACCACAAAGTTATAGCCAGGGACGTGTGACCGGGAATACAGACAAAAACTCTCAACTGACCTTCACACGTATTTAAATAACAGGATACGATCACATTCAGGGGATCAAACAGAAAATGTAGGAGCGACGACTTCACGCAGTGGAGTGAGATGGTGGGAATGATTGACTGAAGCGGGATTGGAATCAGACAGTATAAACACATTCAAGAGGCAGCAAGACTTTCATAGAAGGGAGAGGAGATTAAAAGGTGTGGGAGGGAGTGAGGCTGTGGGAGAGATTCAGTGTTTGGGAGGAATAGAGGGTGGGGATGGAAGGAATAGAATGTACGTGCGGATGAGGAATAGACGTAATGAAGGGTTGTGGAATAGGAAGTGTGAAATGAATTAAGGGGGAAAGTGAGGAATTGAAGGAGACTTGTGTCATTGAGCGTTTGGTACATGTGTTAGGATGGGTTGGGTTGCGGGATGGGGGACAGTAGTAGTTGGAGGGTGGATCTGTGATCAAGGCTACTATAAACCAGCGGCAACGAACGGCCATTTAACAGATTCGTGAGAGAAACACAAACAGGTTATTATGTAAAATCTTACTCAGATCTTACCCCACAAATAGATTCCCACTCGTTCGCTCTCTGGGGATGTGAACTTTCGTCCGTCTACATGTGTAGTATATTTACACGTGTAAATTCCTGCACTGAAATCCGATAGGGCGAAATTTGCCGTTTGGATGTTTTCCGGAGCTGTCCGTGATGTGAAAATCTTGCCGTCTATGTATAAAGAGAATATGCTGCCTGGATAATTCCCAGAACATGAGATCTGAGCGCTTTCCCCTCTCACAAAGAACGGGGAATCTGGCTTCAGGGAAATGATGGCTTTCTGAAGTGGATCTGAAATTAAAACACAGTAAAGATAATCTCACAAACACTCACTCTGATCTGATCTGTGACAGTGAAGATCAGTGTCGACAATAAGCCCAGCCTCACCCTCTGAGACTGTTTCTCTCTGAGGTTTAATACGAGGCAGAAATGTGGGTGGTTCCGACTACGTGTCTTGATTTGACGCTGCAATTCTTCCGTATTGAATTTTTTTTTGATGTTTGGGTATGTCTTTCTGTGAGCGAAGAGTCAGTGTTAGCTCGGAGTCAGTGTGAGCTCTGGATCAGTGTGAGCTCGCGATCAGTGTGAGCTCGGGGTCAGTGTGAGCTCGGGGTCAGTGTGAGCTCGGGGTCAGTGTGAGCTCGGGAACACTGAAAGCTGGAGTTGCTTATAGCCTTGACTGCCTGTTCAGGTAGTGGTAACAAATCTCATGACGATATTCAATAACCGAAGGGATTATTTTCCTGTTGCCTTTGCCAACAATCCCCAAATTAAGTTTGATTGGCCCTACACTCCACCCATATCAATGGCACGTTGTTGCAGTTGTGGTCTATACCTGAACAGAATATGCCACCGTCCTGTCCGTGTCCGCAGTCAGGCCGACCAACCACAGGCCCCGATCCTTCTCCAAAGCGAGCGTCACTTGAGACTGATACAGCAAATCCACACCCCAAATATTTACAAATATATCCTGCCATCTCCATGTTCAGCGTCTCGCCACAAACTGTTCTCCAAGTGTCATAGTTGTACAGCTCAACTCTCCCCACACACCGGCTGTCTCCATTCACCAGTTTGGGTGGGTTACCTCCTGCCAAGTACATACAATACAATATCCACAGCAACAACTTCAAGCGTATGTGCAATTAACACAATCTGTACCATCACAAACAGCGGACGTGTGACCCTGGGTTAGCAGAGATGGTGTGACACACGTATAGCAGAGGAGGTGGGAACCTGGGATAGTAGATGCTGTGTGACAATGGGTTAGCCGAGGATGTGTCACATTGGGTTAGGAGGGAAGCTGTGACACGGGGTAAGCCTGAGAATACATTGGAATATACACCAGAGAAACATTCGGCCCAACTGGTCTATGACGTTAATCACTCCCTGATTTCAGTTTTCCGNTTTTTCTCCTCGCCCTGCGAATACCTCGCGTTTTAATACCACCCCACTTGTGCTCAATCCCCTGCGCTCTCTCCCTTTGCTGATCTCCCTTTGGCTCAACACACTTGTACTCAACAACCTCGTGCTCTTACACAACTTGCTCTTACCCACCTGTCCTCAACCCCACTGTGCCTACCGTTCCTGTTTACATACTCTCTGCTCACCCTCCTGTGAAAACCGCCCCGTAAACATCCCTTTGATTACCCCGCCCCCCGCCCATGTGTGATAACTTCCCTACTCCACAATGTGCGGAATCCCATCTGCTCATTCACACTTTACCCACTATCGCCAGTACACTGACCTCCTATGCTCAACTCCCACGCCCCACCCCCACCCCACCCTGTGCCACTCCTGGTTCTGCCCCCTGTCTTCTGCCCCAGTGTTCACCAATGCGCTCATCCCATGCTCAAATTAACTTCCTCAAACCGCTGTGATCACTCCCAATGCATCCCGCTCCCCGGTGCTCTGCATATACCCCAGTGTTCATACCCTGTGCACAGCCCCAGTATACTCACCTCCCTCTCTACTCATCGCCTGTACTCACTTTTCTTCAGCTCCTCTCTCCCTCTGTTCACCCTGCAATACTCTCCCCCTCCCCTGTTCATACACAGCCTGTGCTCTGTCTTCTTGTGATGACTGAAATATTTACCTGAACAGATGACGCCGGCATCATAGGAGTGTAGCCAGGAATAGCCACCACCCCAGGGCTGTGACCGACAACCCCTCAGTGTAGACTCACTCCCTCTGCACCGGACACTCCACGTCACAACGGGACCTGAGCCTTCGCCAAAGTGAGCGTCTCCTGATGCTGACAGCGCGGCTCCACAGCCCAACTCCTTACACACCACAGCCGCGTCCAACATATCCCAACCATAGCCATCCACTGTGCCCCACTGTCCATCGTGGTAAACCTCCACTCTCCCGGCACACGGGCTACCGCCATTCACCAGCCTCAAACGATCTGCCAAAAGGAAATAAAATCTGCCACACAATCACTGTAAGACATCACGCAGAATATTGAGCGTAATCCAAGATAATACTTTACAAGGTGCATGTCGCATTGCGAGGGTCTCTGGACGGTAAACAATACAACAGCAATAATAATCATTATAATGGTTTCAATGATTGTTGGCTGCATACAGTCCAAAACCCGGGTATCATCAATAATATTAACAATTCATTCCGCCGCTAGATATACCCGTTGCAGCTGCCTTTGGAACAGAAGGATAGAGCTTTTATATTATTATACTAAATATTATATCATTGTACTTTATATAAGATTAATATAATTTATATAAAGATAGGAGATTCCCCCAAAATATGGCAGTGGTTTATTGCTTTGTTACAGAATACATTAATGCGCATGTGTTACTGAAAGAATAGTGTGTGATTTTCTCTGTCGCTAATTCATTGCGGAATATTATCCACACATCACATTTTGGGGCTTCATTAAATTTATTTTAAGTCTAGCTCATCAAGGATAGGCATTGCTCTGGAGTACGTCCACGACTCTAAAACAACAAGATCTTCCCGAAGAGGTAAAATCGTTCTACATCAATTGTATATTGCGCTCTGGCAGATACAAAGATGCAGATATTGTTGTTTTATTATTGCATTAGTAGCTCGCTTTTTGTTGTTTGAATATATGTGTGTGTGTATGGGGGTGTGGGGGAGTCGCGGACTCATACAATGCACCATCACACACAACACGAACGAACCCAGGCACAGACACTAGCACAACCCCAACTCCGGCCAAAGCACCTCGCCCCGAGGACACAGCCCTCACCCACAGCGCCAGAGCACAGCCACACCCCAAGGCACAGACTCCACCGACAGTGCACAGTCGCAACAATACAAAACAGAAGACATCCCCTATGGCACAGCAACCGTCCACAGGGAATAATCAAACCCCCAGGTTACACAGACCCCACACAAGGAAGCCCCACCCCAGGTAAAGGCAGATCCAGACAAAGACCGCTCTCCCTGGTACAAACCCCTCCCAGGTAACAGCAACTACTCCCACCTCCGATAGCTGCCTCTCAGGCTCATCGGTGCGCTGCTTCGGCACAGTGCTCTCTTGCCCTGCCCTACCAACGAGGGCACAGCTTCCCCACTAGGTACAGCGAACTTCAAACCCTGCAGAAACCCCACACCTGCCCCCCGGTAGAGCCCTCACTGCCAAAACAAACCCAGGGTCCACCGACCACTTCCCACTGTACAGGCCCCACCACAGGCTCATCTCTTGACCCAGGTCACAAGCCCCACAATGTCACAGCCCCACAGGATCAGCCACCCACCCACGGTACAGAGACGCCTCAGAGGACAGTCCCTCCACAGAGCACCCAACCCGACACAGCGCGATGGATGGACAGCCGAACTCCAAACGTACAGCACCCTACCAGTCACAGTCCATTCCCAGGGCACAGTCCCCAACTGTCACAACCCCATTCCGACACAGGCATCTCCCGGAAACAGCTGCTGCCCCAGAGCACAGCTGCCATCCAAGGTACAGCCTCCCCAACGTGCACAGCCTCCTCCAGGGCAAAAGCCCTCCACGCCGTTTTGCTCAAACCCCTTGTATCCTTACTCATCCTGTGTACAACAACCCTTTGCTCACCCAACCTGTATACACACCCATCGGTTTACACATTTGTGTTCCCATCCATACTCACCCCATAATCCCCGCGTATGCACAAACCCCAGGTGCTCCCCGCCTATTCGTACCACCCCCGCGCTCCCCATGTTCTTTATCCAAAAATTTGCTCGTGATCCACTGTGCTCTTCACTCTGGTTGTCATCCTCTACTTGTGCTCACCATCTATTATTACGCCCTGGGCTAATCATGTGCGCTCCCTTCCTCTGATCCTCCCATTCTGATACCTCCATGTGCTCCCCGATGTGCTCAGACCCCTGAGCTCAAAACCTCGGTGCTCAACACCTCTGGCCAAATTCTCCCAATATGCTATCCCCAGAAAAGCGTCCATTTTACACCCCGTGTTTAACCAAACCAGAGTGATCACCACCTTCGCTGTGCTCATCCACTCCTCTGCTCAGCTCACGATACTCACATCGTCGTCCTAAACCCCCTTGTTTTCCTCACGTGCTAAACCCAAATCATTCTCATCCCGTGTGCTTAACCCCCCTTTGCTCGACACACCTGTTCTTAACGCGTGTGTTACCCTTCATTGCTCAGCCCTTTGTGCTCACTCATACTCCACTCAACCCTCCGTACTCACCCCTTGTGCTCATCCCCGCACGTGCTTACACCATTTGCTCACCCCTTTTGCTCCACCCCTATAATGTCCACTGTGCTTACCGACCCTGTGTTCAACCAAATCCTGTACTCAAATCCCCGGTGTTTACCTCTACTGTGCTCATTACAAGCCCCGTGGTCACCACCGGGCCCAACGCTCATCCACCGTATGCTAATCCCTCCTCTATGCTCACTCCTACTGTACTCAGCCCATTGTTTTCTAACCCCTTGTTGCCCCCCTTTGTGCTAACTACGTCCCAACTGTTCTCACCTAACTCCGAGCGCTCAATGCTCCCTGTGCTGACCCCAAATATGTTCAACTCCTATGCTACACCTCCATCTACTTAGTCCCTGTGCTCACCCACCCTGCACCCTCCCCCTTAAACTCTGCCCCTTGTAGTCGTCCCCTGTGCTCAGCCGCCTGTGCTCAACACTGCCCACAACCAGTGCTCACCCCACCAAACGAACCACTCGGAAAACGAACTGATGATGATCGACAGATTTGTTTAACTAAGCAGATGACGCAGACAACATAAGTGTGCGACCCGCATTTATGTCCCTAGGGCAATGAGCGTGAATCCACTCCTTCCCACCAACCTCTCCACACCAGATTTAATAATAATACACTGACATATTGCGGGTTACAAACTTTTACCAGAATCTCCCTAATTCTAATTCCTATTGAGACATTGAAAAATCATCAGACAATGAATTAATTACCTGAGCAGATGACGCCAGCATCAGAGGAGTGTGACGAATAATAGTGACGCCAGTTCTCTGAGGAACAATATCTTAGAGCATACTCACTCCCTTTGCACCGAACATTATACGTTATTATGTGACCAGAGCCCATCCCAAAGTGAGCGTCTCCTGAGGCTGACAGCGCGGCTCCACAGCCCAACTCCTTACACACCACAGCCGCGTCCAGCATATCCCAACCAGAGTCACCAGAGCCATAGCCATCCACTGTGCCCCACTGTCCATCGTGATGAACCTCCACTGTCCCGGCACATCGGCTGCCGCCATTCACCAGCCTCACACTCCCTGTAAAACACCAGACGCAACATTGAGAGTCCGTTTCGTCTTTGACTTCCAGTCACTCAGGATAATACAATATGATGAACATGTACAGAAAATCTGTCACATTGGGAGGATGTTTGGCGTTAAAAAAATACAACAACAATAATAATCATTCTACTGGTTGCAGTGTTTGCTGGCTGTACACGACCCAGGTGTCACCATAAGAGTAACAGGTTATTGGAGTACCAGCTTTACATGTTGCAGCTCCGTTTGCAGATAAAGGATAGTGATATTATACTTTATATTATTATGCTCTACATTACTATACTGATATTCGATTATTTTACATCATACTGGACTGTTATACTTTATATTATACTATTCTAGTTGATATTAGAATACTATACTCTATGTTAGATTCTTAAACTTTGTATTTATATTTACGGTCAGGACACAATTTTACACAAGTTTCCTCTATCCACATGTTTCTGTTTATCTAGCAGTCAGTGGTAACCCAGCAGTCAATTGGCGTTTCTTTTCTTGGGATAACAATCCCTTAAAAAAAATGTAATTTGGTCACTCAATCCATGAATCTTTGTGAGACACCACTGTGTGCGATTGGCTGCCGTATATCTTCAGCAAAGCAAGCAGCTGTTTCATATGGCAGTATATTCTGTGAAGCCTTTTGGGACCCGATAAGGCTCTTAAACAAATCCAAGGATTATTATTATTATTATCATAGTTTATATTAGATCACTACAATTCGTACTTCATTATTAAACGTTGTATTATATATTTTATTCTTCTACTTTATATACGATAGGAGATTACACCCAAAATATGGCCATGGTTTACTGCTTTGTTACAGTGTACATTAGTGTAGATCCCTCAGAGCAGACTCGCTCCCTCTGTACTGAACACCATACTTCAGAATGAAGTTTGGTCGATTTGGAAGGTATTCAAAAGCTAACTGAACATGGAGAAGGAATGGGCAAGGCACAGGGATTGAGGAGCAGTAATAATATTCCCACAGCAACATTTGATTGTTAGATTGTGTCACTAACCTGCAGATTCCACAGACTTTCTCTCCAGTAGTATTACTGTACACGGGAAAGAAAGATCAAGGCAGGAATTATTAATAAAATAATTCACCGAAAAATCTGCCGTCACATAATCGTTCCTTGACTACAGGCAGCCACTCAAGTTCGCCGTCAAAAAGATCATGAGTAGGTTAGCGAACACCAGCGCAAATACAATCGGGAAAAAGCGGACAGGGATTGGGATTATTGTAGAGCGCTCCAGTGGGGGAGCGAACACCATCACAGACACCATGGGGAGAGCGCACAATAGGACTGAACAAAGATAACTTTCACAGACTGACAAGCACACGGTTGGGCTGAACGGCATTTTCTGCGAAAGAAAAAAACAGAAATTACTGGAGATGCTGGATATCAGACAACAAAAACAAAAGTCGTTGGGCACATTCAGCAGTTGAGGCAGCAGATCTAACGAGCGGTCGTGGAAACGAAACGTTGACTCTCTTTCCTTTCTCCTTAGATGTTGCCTGACATGCTGAGTGTTCCCAGAGACTTCTGATAATTATTTTCTGAGCAAGGGCCGTTTGTGTTTCTGTTTCTCTTTCGAGGCTTGGGGAAGAAGCGATTTGCTGACCACTCGCAACCTGAGAAATTTATGTTTAACAGACTGAGCAGATTGTGTCTCTCTTTCTGTATGAAGTGTGCTTACTGGCTGTTATTTTTCCTGGTAGCTTCTGTCTCGTTACCCAAAAATAACAACCTGCATTTTGACGACTTGCATTTATACTGCAATAAATCTACTTTAATGAGGGTAAGCATAGAAATGACTTTCTCTCCTCACTGTCCCCTTTCTCCTTTCTCTGCTTTTGCACTCGACCTTCCCGCCTCTCCAAAACCAACAAAAAATTAAGGATCACTAAGGTGATCGAACGCACGGTCAAAGGGAAGAGTGTTCAGATTTATCTTGAAGGAAGCAAGGAAAGGGTGAGGTAGGTGGACTGCAGAATGTAGTCCTAATGGGTGGGTAGAGATTGGCTAAATGATCGCCCGTAAATGGTGGGGCTGTGAGGTGGGAGACATGAATCAGGCTGGAGTCCGCTGAGCTGAGGGAGCGGGTAGATTGGTAAGGCGTAGGAGGTCGCAGATGTAGGGGTGTGTGAGGACATGGAGGGCTTTCAATGTGAGTAACATTATCTTGAACTGTATCCAAGGATGGGGATGATATGGTCACAGAGACTGGTGGAGGAGATGACACTAGCTGCAGGTTTCTGGGTGATCTGCAGTCGATAGAGGGAGTATTTAGGCAGACGGACAAGCAGTGGGTTTGCGCACAGAATCCTGGATCTCATAAAAGAATGTTATAAAAGCATGTATAAGTGTTCCGGCAGCCTGCGGTGTGAGACATTGGTGGACACCGTTAATGTTGCGGGAATGGGGGAAGATAGAGCGGGTTATGACACGAGTTTGGGATACATAGGATAGTTGAGGATCAAAAAAGACGCCTTTCACTCCTCCCTCTTTTCCAACTCTCTGGATGGCACAACTCTCCGAATGGGTTGTAATCATAAATAATAATTCTTGCATTTGATATAGCGCTTTTCATGTCTTCGAGACATGTCTAATTAGAATTCACCGTATATTTGTGGGCGAAGTGCGGTTGGCAATTGCACATAGCAGTGTCCTACAAACTGTCGGTGATTGAAAATGAGCAATACAGCATTGTTTTGTTTAGGAGCGGTTATTATGAGGAGTATAGAGTAGAAATTGCCCAAGGGTTCGCCCTGCCTGGAAAAGGAAAAAAGTGTCTCGCTTGCAAGGCGATTGCTCTAACCACAGAGCTACAGAACCCCACTTTACGGTACATTCCCACAAATATTCGTGGATTGAAACGGTACTCACCGAAAATAAGAAACAATGATTCCATTTCGAGAGTGAGGAGGAGCTCGAGTCAAATACAGAACCTGGAGGATTGTGTTTGTGTCCGACGGGGAAGGATCTCTGCAGACTTAAATCACACGGAGTAATTCTCAGGAGAAGCTTTTGACAGTGTCACCCTGCTCTGTGATCACCAAGCATCCACTTCTCTGTAACACTTGCATCGAAAGCTGTTGTGACACACACACTGAGGAACAGTCTGACACACACACACATACACACACCGAAACAGACACACTGAGCTGCGATAGACACACACACAAACACACACTCAGAGAGGAACACGAACTGTGACTTACAGATGTATATTTAACGACGTTTAGAGACGGAATCAGAGACTCAGACTCTCTCTCTCCCTTAATCTCTCTCTCTCTCCGCAGAACGAACAGGATATGTGATGTCCTTTACTGGAATCGTTGCAACACTCGCACACAAACCGCCAGCGTGAAGCTGATTCTCAGAAACTGCAGAACGTTATTTAATTGCGGTGAGCAATGCTCCGATTGGGAGCTGTGAGTTGAGCTGGACACCCAGCGCTGAGTATTTTGTGGAATGAAGAAGTAGGTTCTTCCTGGTGTCACATTGGCCACTTCTCCATTTCTGTGTGCAAAATGCTGCGTGTTTGTGTTCGTCTACAAATACACATCACAACATATTTCATTAATTCCCGTGAAAAACTTGGATGGATTCCACGCAGCAATGAATCCTGGAGTCAAATGTAACAGTACATAGACAGGAGAAACCACACATTTACGTTCTCAGTTTAGCCTCTTTGACGGATTACCTACTTCCTCATTTCAGTTGCTCACATTTTATCTTTTCTTGCGACATCCTTCTTTCCTTCCCCGCAGTATTTCAAGGCATTGATTGCTGATTAATGCCCTGCATAGATCAGCGTAGATTTATTGGGTTATTACCAGAGATGAAGGGGATGAGTTTCCAGTGTAGGCTGACCAATTTGGGCCTTTATTCTCTAGATATAGATGAATTAGGGGGATCTTATAGAATCCAATAAGATCATCAAAGGGCATGATAGAGTAGATAGTGGGAGATTGTTTCCCCTGATTGGAGAAACTAAAACCTGGGATCACATCCTTAAAATCAGAGGCCAGCCCTTTCGCACTGAGTTGAGGAAGAACTACTTCACTCAAATGATGGTGAATGTATGGAACTCACTACCCCAAAGGGCTGTTGACGCTCAGTCCCGAACATATTCAAGACTGAGATAGATAGATTTCTTACTGCAAAAGAGATTAAGTGATATGGGGATAAGGCGGGGTCAGGTTATTAGCTGGAGTTAGATTAGAAGATCAGCCATGATTGAATGGCGGGGCAGGCTCGAAGGCCCTAATGGCCTAGTCCTCCTCCTACATGTTATGGTATGTCTCCATCCGTCTGTTACTATCACAATATCTGTCACACACACATTGTTTCTCTCAGATTCCCAGTCTCTCTCCATCTGTGAATCTCAAAGCTTCGTTAACACACAAACTGTGACTCTCACAAACTCTCTGTCACTCACTCTCACAAACCCAAGCCGACTCTCCCTCTACATCTCTCAAACACTCACTCATACTCCACACTCCCCGTATTGTTCCCTCACAATACCAGTCTGTCTTAAAAACTTTCTCTCTCTCTCTCTCTCTCTCTCTATACATATACAGACCTGATCAATTTAAGGTGTATTCAAGGGTCAACATTGGATATTTTGTAAATGGCAAAGGATGATGTGTAGCTGAACCACTGTCATGGTGTTCGCTTTGCAACTTTACCGGATATGAAGCACAAACCGCACAGCACCGCCAGGCAAAATGATATCAAACATTTCACTGAAAAAGGAAAAAACAGCTAAACGGAACAACATAATTTCTTTAGCGGTGTTTTGTATCTGTATTTCTCTGGAGAGTAAACTTGTCTGAAATCTCAAAGCTACCTACTTGCTGGTCCCTACAGTTCTATAATGCACAATATATGCTTAATTAGAGTTCTCAGCCCTGCTGTCTTGTCAGCTTTTGAGATATTAGAATCAGATAAGGAAGCCAGTCTCCACTCTGCAACACCTCGTTTGACCACTTGCACTTCCAATAGTTCTGTCTTTCAAGCTGTAAGTTTAATACAATATAATTCAACTGACATTTCCATAGCGCCCTTCACTTCAGAGGTGCTGCTGTTTGTGAAAATTAATGTAATTCATGTGAAGTCTGATGGTAACATTGCTCACAACCTCAGTAGCACTCACAAACATTATTATCTTCACACACTCTCTCACACAATCTCACACTGTGTAGATCACACTCTCAGTCTCAGTCTCTCTATCTCTATCCGTGTCTCTGAAACTCCGAGTCTCCCTCCAATGTTACTTCCTCAGTACACTCTCAGCCTCATTCTCCCTATCTCCATCTGTGTGTCTGAAACTCTGAGTCTCCCTCCATCTGTTACTCTCTAAATATCTATCACACACACATTGTGTCTCTCACACTCCCAGTCTCTCTCTGTCTGCGTCTCTCATCTGTCTCTGAAACACACACAATGTGACTCATACTCTGTCTCTCTCTCTCACACGCCATCTCAATATCTCTCTGTATCTCTCATACTCTCACTCACTCTCCCCATATTTTCCCTCACACTATCAGTCCGTCTTACAAAATGTGTCTATCTGAACCTTTAGCACTCTCTCTCTATCACCTCAGCCTCTCTCTCTGTCCCCAAACTTAGTCTCCAAGATGAGAGGATAAATTGAGGTTCTATATGTGCAGTGTTGAAGACAAATGTTAAAGATCCCGAGGCACTATTTGGAAAAGAGTAAGAAATGTCTCTTTATATTAAATTCCAGCTCAAATTAAACCGTACGAAAATGAGACATGGTATCAAATTGTCAAAAGCTGATGTGTAGCTGAACCACTGCCATGGTTTAAGCACAGCAACTTTACCGGATATTAAGCACTAATCGTACAATATCTCCCAACAAAGAGGGCTCAAACATTTAACTGAAAAATGATAAAAAAAATAAACGGAACAGCAGGATTTTTTCGCTGTGTTTTGTATCTGTATTTTTCTGGACAATAAACTCGTCTGATATCTCAAATGTGCCGGCCACTCTCATCCCCACAGCTCCATAATTAACAATATTCGCTTAATTGAGAGTTCTCAGCCCTGCTGTATTGACGGCTTTTGAGACCATTACTATCAGATAAGGAACCCAGTCTCCACTCTACAAAACCTCACGTGACCGCTTAGGAAGCCTATATTTCTGTCTTTCCAAGCTGCAAGTTTAATACAATATATTACAAATTACATTCGCGTGGCTCCTTCACTTAGGGAGTTCAGCTTTTTGTGCAAATTAATGTAATTCATGTGAAATCTTATGGTCACATTGCTCACATTCTGTCTCTCTCACACACAATTGTGTATCTCACACTCTGAAACACTGTGCAGCTCACATTGTCAGCCCCTCTATGTCCACACTCTCAATCTCCCTCCATCTGTTTCGTTCAAATTTACTGACACACACATCTCTCACATTTCGTCTCACAATTTCTTTCTCTACCTCCCAATCTCACTCACTCTCTGTATCTCTCACACTATCTCTCTCTCTATCTCTTCTTTCACACTACCGTCTCTAGTGTCTCAGAATCAGTTGCTCTCC